GAGCATAGCTGGCCCCCCATAGACGCATACCTGTAGCTCTGTGCTTACATCCAGGGAGTCCCATTGACTAATATCCCATGACCAATGAGAGTATCACTGGCAATGGGTGCATGTAACCCCTCAAGGAGAGAATAAATTGATGAGCGCGTGAACATGAGTGAACAACACGTTACATTTTTTAAACCAACTAACTTATTAGTACTATGCTTGAGGTTGCCTTCAAAAAGGTATATTTGACATAGCGGTGAGCCTACCCCAATGATGTTTGTTTGTGGGTTTCATTAGTTCTCCTCATTCCGGTTAGCCTCTACATCCAATCACGATCGCAGCATCTATGCAGATTAGTAAAATCGTATTGTTGCCTGTTTCTGTCGTATGCACTTTCCCATTAATTATCTTGTTTTTTGCTTGTTTCGGATATCTTAATATTTTGTACTGCGATACTATAGCTGAAATGTTTTTCACCTCCGCTCGACGTATAGAATAATGACGATGATTACACAACTGGTTTCAAATACACCGGAACCCTGGTGTAGACTGTTTTCCAGACTTCGTTTGAAATTGGCAAGGAGTTGCTCCCCCATTCGAGTACTGTATGATTGTCATTTAGGCCGATTTCATATGTCGCGATCAACAAACTCAGATACCCGGTTTCTTAGGTCTATAAGCTCGGTTTTGTCGTCCGCCTAAGTTCTCGAAGCGATGCATCAACACCAAGAGATAACGTGCACTGTGGCTTGGATTGGAGAAGCTTACCAAAGTTTATGGCTATTTGTCAAAGCTAGTTGTATTGTACAGCCATATGAGGGGGATCGCACTTAAGTCAAACAATCCGTATGACATTTGCTCCCACACCCTGTGGCAGAATGAATGGGGTATTCGTCAAATCGTTTTGCGTTGTAGTCTGACATTATCTAAAATAGAAAGCAGGTCTGGTGCGACACATTTCAAGCTATGCTCCATACATGCAATAAATGTCAGTTGCTACAGTGTACAAAGCATCATATATATATATATATATTTGCAAAAGTCTGTTAACAGACATAATGCCATCAGAAACCATGGGATTCAAACGAAGCTACAGAAACAGTAAAATAAAACACAACACAACAATGTCCATGGTTCCCTCAGAGGGCGAGATACTACCCGGTTGCCCAAGCCGAAGTAGGGTGTTGACTTAGGGGACACCACCCCGAGCCTTTGGCTGAATAGCCTGCCCGCAAGGCAGCGGAGCGAATTCAGGGAATCGCGCCCATTGGGAGCCGGTGACTGATTGCTCAGTTCATACGCCTTTTGTTTGTTCCTTTGTCAAACAGGGGCCCAATGCTCCCCAGAAATTACAGCATAAAGTTGCTGGAATACAATGCTTCGCCAGAATGAAGCAAGGGGCAGTGACTTTATTTAGTGGCGAGTCACATCCGCCACGTCACAGTGTTGTTAAACGGACATATGTGGCTTTTTATACGGAGAACGCTTGCAAGGCGAAAACCCACCACGTCCTGGAACACTGCCGCCGAACCATTTGCTGGAATGGGAAAATCCCAAACCACCGAGCTGGCACCACGAGGAGGTTGTTCGGCAAGCCAGAACGCCGCTGATGGAATAGCTGCATTTCTAAAGGTGATAAGGGTTAACGCTTTCGCGAGTTTTGATAGAAATTCAGTGGAAAGTTATGCACAGATCTCCGGCAGGCAACGGGGCAAATATGTGCAAAGTTACAAAGGTTACTTGTCACATAATGTGTACTTGTTGCCCCGAATTCACTTTTGGTAGTGGCGCCTTCGAAGCACGTCGCTGTACTAACTTCCAGGGTAGTCTTTCCTTAAACATCCTTAATTTCCCTTGTTAGGAGAATAGCTATTCGACATTCAATTTTTGTGAACAAGCTTAATAGCCATTCTTTTTTCTTCATGTTTTCCACTTGTTGACTGTTGTTTAAACGGTGCACTGTGTTAGCCCGGTTGGTACACACACCCCATTGTTAATGGACGCTCATTTCCGTGTCATCTTCAGCAGTGCCATTTGTAACAACACATTCCATTGGTTTTCCTCCGCATCACTTTCTACTTGGTTATGTTAAAGTAATATTTAGTTGTCACACAATTATTGTACTCGTTTTTAATTGGTGGGTCTGCACTTCTTATTCTCAGTTGTTTCGTGACATTTATTTGAACGCTACATTTCTTGCTTCTGATTGGCCAGTGGCAGTCACTATAAATGGATGTTCGATATACATTTGGGGTTCCATGATGCTATTTTTAGGAACATATGCAAGTAGCTCGTGATTACACGGTTGCTCATTCGCCCGTTGCATTTGACGTTTTCCTTCTGTTTGTTGGCTCAAGTGTAAGTTAGTAGCTTCCCTTCATTTTGCCTTCCAAAATATATAAGCAAATGTGATTTTATGTATACAAGGCTCTTTTCGGCTCCTCTTTGAACTTCTTCTTGCGGTCGTGGGGTAAAGGCGTCAGTGGCAACACAACCCCTAGTACAGTATACCGGAAAACCCACTTTCTGTATTTTTCAACATTGGATTTTACCGTTGTTTTAACCTTTAAAGCGTCCACTTGTTTTACTGACAACACATCCGCTGACAAAAATTGTTTTGTTGACTAGCTTGCAGTACCGTTTCTCTCTCTGGTTGATTCGCTTCCTATTTTTGTAGCCTGCACAATAGAAGTAGGGTACAGTCACCAATTTCTATACTGTCCCCCCATATTTGACACCTCTCTCATGTATCCTTGTTCACCGACTAGTATCCCAGGCGTCACCCAACAATTGGTGACCGCGGTCCAGAACCCGCCATCCGCCATTTTAAATTTTCATTCTGGTGCGCTCGTTCCAGTAAGATTTTGCTTCATTACACGCGATCATTTTGTTGTCACACCTACCACATTTACTTATTCATTTCTCACGATGAATAGTTCAGGTAATTGACTATCAATGTACGTGGTTAGCGCCGTAGAGCTAGCCTCCCCACCTTTTCAGGAGAACGACCCATTAGTATGGCCTTCACATTTGGAATCCACTTTTTACAATGGAAGAATTGCTTCTGATTACTTATAATCCGGCTTCCACAAAGTTTATCATCCCAAGTGAGAGACATCATAGCTTGCCCCCTCCCGATGCGAAAAATTAGACTTGAAAGCAGGCGATCATCCAGCGACTCACGCCCCCCGACAAATTCAGACCAGTCCACCCCAACCGTCCACCGATGATGCATTCTGGTCTACACGATCATCATACAGATTTAATAACAAAAGCCTGCACCCAGCAAACTCTGCTGTACACCGCATCTTGGAAGCCCTTGTTCAAGCCCATGCGTTTACTCGCACGCATCCCCATCTCCCGTTTTCCCCCACGAACAGCTCCATCGAAACCTTCCATCCTTCAGCCTTCTAGGGGAGGCACTTTTAATGTACCGGAAAACACACTCTTTCCGTATTTTGCCAGATGGGATATTACTGTTCTTTTAACCTTCAAAACGTCCCCTTTTTTATTGACGGCACTTCTGTTGACACAAATTGTTTTGGTGACTATCTTGCTGCATCGTCTCTCGCTCTGGTTGATTCGCTTCCTATTTTGGTAGTCAGCATAATACAGGTTGTATTCAGTCGCCTCCAATTTCCATATTGTCCGGCGACTGACACATCTCTTGCGTTTCATTGATTACCAACAAGTATCCGAAGCTCCACCCAACACTTTCATGGACACAAATCCTTGTTTACTGTCTGCACTTCCATTGCTTGAACAGAGCTAAAAGAAATTGTTTTCGCTTACCCACTTCTAAAGGAGCCAGTTATTGGAGCGCTTCGCCACGATAAGGGCGCGATTGAGATTGTACGTCCGACGGTGGCTATCAACTGAATTGTAAGTCGCACCTTGGCCGTAGGCATGACTGAATTTTTGCACGCCAATGACACAGAGTCCGTGTTTCAGCTGTACGGCAAGAGATATGAGTGCTCATGTTTCGTTTACGGGCCTTGGCCACGTTAACTCGGGTTTATGTCTCGTACGAGAATGCCGAAAGGAGAGATGTCTCAATTAGATTACAGCTAAATGGTGTAACTTTACTACAAAATCGCGCACTGTTGAGGACATTGGAGGTTCGTGTTATGCCACTCAGCGCTTTCTAAAGCACTAGGCGCAAAGTTAGCTTATTCTGCTCCGAGCCGTATTTCGGGTCAACCATGTAAGTGAGTACTGTTCGTCGCAAACATCTTGGCACGTAGGCATCAATCATTCCAAATTCGCCCACTTGACGCAACCGCTTTACTTTGTGCCGTAAAACGAACGACCCATTCGAACTGGCTGCAGAGTTGATTAGTCGACGATCAATGCTTATCCAATGGGACAGTGACACCTGAACTGTTCTCAGTATTTGTGACACCAAGTTTACTCTGGGAGGGACGCCAACAGTTCACAGAGCATTCGTACATTCTTTTCAACCACATCGTTGGATTCACAGCTAACTAATGGTGAACGATTTTCAACCAGGGAAAGGAAAGTCTGCTGTCCTGAAGCTAGTAGGAATGTTTGAATCACCCGTCGCCAAGACGACAAACAAGCTAGTCTTGAAATGGTCTACAGTTGTATTAGAGCTTGTTGCTATACTTGTCGCAAGCGAAGAATTCTTGTGAGCTTATGACCAAATCCATTTAAGTAATGGAAACGTTTTGCGTAGGTGTTCTGGACATTGTCTTTTAAACAGCATGTGCAGTTTTAGAAAAGTGAATTTCCACAGTCGTTGCCTATCTGGCGGGCACGGTAGAGCCGTTTTCTGGCTTTGAGTACCTTTCTCGGTGAGTCGCCAAGTTATACCGAGGTTTTCAATAATAACCAACTTTTGATCAGCTGAAGTGCAAACGTGGTCTTGGTGCGGTTTACACGGACATTTCAAAGGAAGGTGCTCGTTTCGGACGAATGAGAGTGGGCACCGGTTGCCAGCCTTCCTATTTTAGCTATTGCAGTGAATGAAAAGCGGTATTTGTACTCAGCTGGATACCGATTTACTATTTATCGTGATAGACTCAAGGAATAGGGCATCAGAATAGAACGGCTATATTCCGCATAGCAGATTTATGGAGAAATTGAGGTACAGGTTCACACTTTTACGCCGCATCCTTGCTGCTTCCAAAACAAAGTTGAGGTCAAATAAATCCACAGTAAATCCTCCTAATAGCTGTATATTTCAGCAAACAGTTAAACTTCAGTGCTAGTGTCAATTGGCGATTTTGACACTGTTAGAATCCGCTTCCATATCTCCTGATTCGGAAGCACGCTTAGTGGTCCTCGACAATTTCGATAAACATCCAGTGTAACCAGGCATGTGATGGGTCCTAGGAGCAGATACAAAGAGAAAAGGAATGTAGTTTGTAATTTACGCAATATATATATATAGTCTTGTCATCCAAGGGAGTATATTTGGTCTTTCCCTTTTCCTACTTTAGATTAACGATATCACGGTGTTCATAAAACATGGTAGGCCATTTTCGTTCGCCAATGACATAAAGAATCTTCATAAATTTCGACAAGATGAACTCCATAGCGTAATACTGCTCTTTCAAGAAGACCTCGATTCTCTTGGGAAATGGTGCTACAGATGGATGTTAAATTTCGCAGCTAGTAAATCATGAATTATCTCACACGGATGTTTGATCCCTGAACAGTCAGTTAAACTGAACAGTGAACGTATCTACGTGCATCCATCGAACTGTGATCTAAGCATACGATACTCTTCAAACGCTAGTTTTGCAGAGCAAGCGGATATCAAATAGCATGTACCAAACGACCTATGGCTAACATATGCCATAAAATCCATACAACCCCTGCCAGCCTCAAGCTTTTCAAAATAATCGCCCTTTCTCTCCTTGAATACTGCAAAATTATTTATGGGAACACCTGTATGGGTGACAGGAAATCTTTGGAAGACCTGCAAGGATTATTCACTAAGCGCTTGTCCAGTAAATCGCCCAACTTGAGTTATCAGGAGCGCTGCCAGCAGCTTAAGCTCGAGTCGCTTTGGTTGCGACGGCTTAAACATTACCTGACGCTGATACACAATCTCATAAACTGGAAGACATAAGACATACTCCAATCTGTGCACACTAAAACTGCAACACAATTTCACTCGGAATATACACAAAAGACCTGTGCGTTAACTGTACCAAGAACCAAGACAGCTAAACGATCAAAATTCTTCCTCGTCAGCTACGCTGTCATGTGGATCAGCCTACCAGCCACAATCAGGTCTTGTGCAAATGCAAAAACATTCCGCATTCAGCTTAGAGAATTCCTGGACCAGAGCTCGAGAATGACCAATGTTTCCATGGAGTAAATCATCACACGAGTTCTTCCAGAAGGACCAAGATATATAACCAGTTTGAAAACGTGGTACACAAAACTCAGCAATAACAGAAGTTATGTGATTTCAAAGTGTTTTGATGTCACACCCCGCAGAATAGATATCTCACTGGGGCATGATGGTGATCATTATTGTACTCATGATTTGTCCACAATCCAAGGACAGGTTCTCATATAACCGGAATATCTATATATTGTTATATATGTTAGTTGCAATCTACAGCAAGTACTTATAGTCGTCAAAAGCCTAAAGATAAGTGCACGTAGTAATCTTAAAAATCCCAAAAAACGAAAGGATGAATAAAGTGACATTTGTCCTACCCATAAGCAGTGGCGCCGAGGCGGACGTAAAATTGTCGCCACCCTGGGAATTGTAAATCCGTAAATTCACACAACTGCGAATAGACCTAAGATATATGGATTCATATAACTACAAATATTAACTTTAAAGTACTGCCGTAAATGTAGTTATTTGTGTTTTTACAATACGCGTGAGCAAAACTTACAGCTACATTTTTTGTGCATTAATAGAGGCAACAGTTGTGATAACACCAACCAAATTCAGTCCAGTAGCGAATTCCATCTCTATGGGAAGAACTGTCAATCCGTGAGCCCTGGCCGGTTCAATGATAATTGAATTTAGTTAGTTATAAGCTTGAGTTTGGAGAATGCGCTTTCACAGCTTGTAAAACTAATAGTTCGATTACGAGTGATGCACAGCAGATTCCAGAAGTGATGTTTCTGTGTGCAAGCCAATAGTTCCGAAGAGCTATTAGATTTTGTCGTTTCGTGAATTTTACACCAAATACTGCAATTCGTTTCCTTTCGACAAGGAATTCCTCTCTTTCTCTATTCTCCTCAACTTCGCTAAGCGAACAACCATAGTTATCATCAAAAAGATTTAACGGTATAGGAAAAGCCTATTTGTTTGCAAGGTCATGAATTTGTCGAAACCTATCGCATTTTGTTAGTCAAACTGTCCATGACAGACAACAGTTCCTGTATGAATTAATCGATATATCATCATGTTCCAAACAATTTATCTCCGTCCATCCTTTAATTTCGGTGGATTCGACATTCTATGCTTATTACCCCTAACCCAGCGTATTGTTTCGTTGTTTCATCCATTGCAATAACAACCGTTTTCTTTCTAGTTTGAAGAAGGAATACTGATAACCTTGTAAGCTTGACAGAACTTTGCTGCAGATCCAACCCCATTCGTTTAGACATTTCTATGCAGCCTTGTTTTCTTTTCTTTTCTCTCCAAACGCTCAGAAACGAAATAAACGGTAACGGCAATACCGAGGTGAGAAGTAAGGTGGCATCTGCTCTTGTGGTTGCATTTGCTCATTCATCTGTGAAATGCTTCAGAGAAGTGACGCGTTCCGAGTATTTTCTTCATCACACCGTTTGCAGCACCCACCCGACTACTCCACCTGGATTTTACAGCCATTTGATATTTATACCGGTGACATGAAGCAAAACGTTCCAGCCATATTTAGAAGTAAAAAGCACGAAAATAGCCGATGTATCCTGTCAAAAATGTGACATAAGGAACCGTCGCAGTAGCTACATGAACACAAGCCAGATTCAGGGAATTGTTTGTACATGACACAAATTGTAGCTTTGGATTGATTTCGCATGGGTCTCTGCACACCCGCTTGGTAGCCCGCCATAACAGCAGCACTGTTTAATGCCTGGCCATGACCGTCATCAATCTGCATCTAGTGCTTCTCCGCTTCTCTCAATACCAATCCAGAAATTTCCTCTGCTCTTTTACTGTTGGTCTTAATGAATCTGAGAAACAACTCCTTTACCGTCACCACATTTTCACTCATCTTATTTTTGTGGGATACGTATCTGGAGTGATATCAAAAATTAAGCAAACATAGTTGCTTTCCTTGACCTGCTCCACTATTTTATTTCTCGTCTACTTTACAAAAATGCTCACTAATTCATTTTGAACGCATGGCGACAAAAAAGGGTGCTGATTTTCCCAGCTGAGCTGTCACCAAATGTTCCGAAGAACAGGCTCATACTTGGCCAACAAATGTACAGCTTTTGAAACATTCCCTCTCTTTTCCTGGCCTCCCTCGTCATGCTGGCTGTGTCTCGGAGACTACACGGTGTCCTGTTTTGCTTGACGGAAAACCGGAAGATATCAAGGTTGCTAGACAAAAGTTAACGCCACTTCTTTTCTACAATTGCCTTCCTTCAACTAGCCGGATTGCTAGTGGCTTGCTGTTGGGAAATGACTGAGCACACGATTTACCAGATTCGTGTTCATATCCTTTTGGATTTAGTTTTCACCAGTTTCTGAAACCCTCATCAGTCAGAAAACGGCTATCTACTTGACAACATTCTGCAGCTGAAACAAAACAGGGCTTATTTTAATGGAGCGTACATCATCTATGTTCGCAAGTTTTGCTCGTTTTCTTACAACTCTCGAAAAAGCGAGCTTGTTGTTAACTTTTTAGCTACAGCTTAGTATTCTTTTCCGGTAGCACCACTTCTTGAATTTATGATCGGCCTGATTCACGGCAATAAATCAGAACCAAACCAGCAAAGTGAGAATCTCATGGTCAATCTTAACAGGCCATTGATAGGCATCCATAAGATGGATAGATGTGCGCATGATCATGCCAGTGTGGCTGAACTTCCGAGTCTTCAACTTCGAGCGCATCTTCTGCATCAGCAGTACCAACATTTCTCACTGCATCCACGCTTTCAATATCACTCACTGTTTTCCGGAGATAAATGTTTGTAGTACCAATTTCATCTTCCGTCTCATTTGTATGGAAGTAATTTCTAGGTATTTACACTTGGTATTGAACAATCACCTGTGCTAAAGATGCTACCTGATGTCGTATGCCGCCCGGAGAGGACCGTACCCCCGCTCCACCATGTTACGCCTTTGCTCAAAAGTAGGCGATTTGCGATGCAGACAATCGGGGGTCATTCGCGGCATCATTTAAATAAGATAATCCTCGCATAGCTGGGAAAATACTAGACGGCCGTTTCGTCGTATCATGACTCGTCAGGAGTACGCATCGGCCAGCACAATCAAGCTCCGAACCCATGACCCCTGACCAGCAGTTTGTCCTGCTAAACCATGGGGAATAGCAGTCAATCGTCATGACTTACAAGCTGACATCGATACAGCTCGACTGATTCTCCATTGCCATCCAAGTTAAAGACTTTTCAGAAGACAGGGTTGGTCATGGGATACACGACTTCCACAAACAGCAGCTATGTACGCTATGACATTTAGAAGCCCTTAGGGGGATATTTTGATATGTGCATGAATAGGTCTCGATTGTACGAAATGGTCGTCTAGTGCTTTCTCCGGCATATAGAGGAATATCTGATTTGAAAGCTGCTGCCAAGAGGTCCAGATTACTTAACTTTTTATTTTACACAGGCCGCTTTGTGCTTTTTAGTCATTTTAATCAATTTACTAGCTGCGTCTTTGATCAGTTAGAGCAAGGTATAAAAATTGTGCACATTTTCCATCAAGTTCGAATCCGAATCATGTTCACAATGGCTAGCAGCCAGTGAAGTTCCTCATCATTGGATTCCTAGCCAGGAATACGCACGGGACCTACAATAGTTTAGGTGAAGGCCAGCTCCTTCACGTTTTGCCGCCGAATGGCAGCCTGATAACCGCACGATTTCTTCCTGTGTGGTCAACTGTGGGAGAACAATGAGTGACGTGGTAATCGTTCGCAAGGCATGTGTAGGACATGACAAATCCACTTCAATCGGTGCAGCGGTATCATCTTGTTAAAAGCAAGACCCAGATTATCTAAGACGCAACGTCTGAGCTCTTTGTTGGAAGCGTGCTGTTCCCCTTACATACAAGCCATTCTCTTCAATACCTACTACCAAACTCTGAACGCCGACATATGTCATGCACACCGATCGGCCAAGACGTACTTCCGTGCAACAACACCGCGCGAACACAGGCACTATAGAC